TTTGTTTATATATGTATGTATTGATATATGTATATTTGGTCTTTCTGAGACAGGGTCTCCCTGTAGCCCCAGCTGACCTGGAACTCACTATGTAGACCAGGCTAGCCTTGAACTCTCAGAGATCCTCCTGCCTCTGCCTCCCAAGTGCTGGAACTAAAGGTATGCACCACCATGCCTGGCTTTTTATATGTATGAGGGTATTGCCTGCATGTCTGTAAGTGCACCCATGCTGTGCAAGCCTGTGGTCAGAAGAGGGCGTCAGATTCCCCTGGAACTGGAGTTATAGACAGTTGCTAGCCTGTGCGTGCTGGGAATTGAATCAGCATCCTTTGCAAGAGCAGCCAGTGCTCTTAACTGCTGAGCCATCTCTCCAGCCCCAAGAAGTTTTCTTGATAGGAAAGACTTTAATCTTAAAAGATATTGGTATTAACTGCCAAGCATGGTGGCACATACCTGTAATCCCAGCATTCAGTAGACTCAGGCAGGAGAATTGTGAGTTTGAGGCCAGCCTGAGCGGACTGCATAATAATAAATTTGAAGCCAGCCTGAACTATATAGGGAGAACTTTTCTCAAAAAAAGGCATGGAATTGATCTAAAAGAATAGCTTTTGTCTTCATAAATTATAATTATTTTTTTCAGAGTGCTTATTCAGTTAGCAAGCACTTGTAATTTTCTGAAATGTTTCATCTTTTTTCTTTTTTAGTGGACAGAAGATTGCAGAAAATCAACTTATCCTCCTTCTGGACCAACGTGAGTAAACCTCAGATGATCAAAATTCACTTGTAATGGTCTCATAAGAACAACAATAATGAACAAAAACTTAAGCCATGTCTTCCATCTTGAGACAAAGTTGGACTTCCTTGTTTGTGTCTTAGTGTAGAGCTAAGATCATGGACAAATCGGAAAATATTCTTTGATTAAAACAGTCATTTCTGAGCTGGGCATGGTGGCGCACACCTTTAGTCCTAGCAATTGGGAGGGAGAGGCAGGCAGATCTCTGTGAGTTCAGGCCAGCCTGGTCTACATAGTGAGTTCCAGGACAGCTGGGGCTACAGGGAGACCCTGTCTCAAAAAGAAGTCATTTCCTGCCTGTGAAAGTCACTGGAAAGAAAAGGATTCCTCACTGAATTACTCTCTCTCCCAGCATTTTTCTTTTCTATGACAAATGAATCTACTGAGCTGTGATTCTCTGTTGCTTGGATGTAAGCCCTCAACTTAAATTGGGAAATCATATAGGAGCCCACATGTGAAATAGTCACGAAATAAACTGACTTGATAAAGGTGTGAGGAAAACATAAAACAAGAACTGATTTATGATTTAGTCTTAACTAGCCAAAACCTGTAGTTCAAATTTTGATCTTTCCAAATCCTTAGTGATGAAATAAGCCTGAGTGAAACACAAGAGTAGCTCACAGGGACAGAGGGAGCAGCTGTAGAAAGGGAAAGGTGTAAGACTGGTCATCTTTTCTCCTCTTCTTCCCTCCTGTTGAAAGCAGACTCCTGGGGTGAGAGGAAGCAGGGTACCCTCAGTAACATCAAGACTTTCAGTAACATTACAAATTCTGTATTATATGGTCCTTTTTGTAAACAATCTTTGTCCCAGTACCCTTGGGACACTGGAGTATCACCTGTATCCATCTCATCAAGCATTTCCTTTCTGCTGCTCATTGAGTGCTTAGCATTTGTGGTCTTGCTTGTGAGTGTTATTGCAAGCCACCTGAGCAGCTGTGTGGATTCAGGCACTCTGTATGACATCAATAGGATGACTTGGGGATAGCCAATGCTGTCTCTAAATGTTGAAATGATACTTATTGTTGGTAGTAAAGTAGGAAAATACACTGTGGTAATCACTGTTGAAAGTATTGATTAGTATTGATGAGAGGAACTGTAACAACCCAAGTTGCTTTGATTTTCTTACGTTTGTATAAATATTTAGGGGCAGGCAGCTTCTGTGTTACTCTCAACCCAGGCTTGCTTGCTCCAGCTCACTCCTCAGTGGCCTGCTCTCAAAAGGTCTTCCTTTCTGTCATGGCTGGTACCATCTTGGCCTTCATTGCCTTACTAATTTTGTCTCTTGGGTGGTCTCACTGCCCCAGTTCACTGAAATTTTAAAAATTTCTATAGTGAAGGCCTTTTTTTCTACCCTCTTTTAAGTATACTTTACATGTGTCTGTGACATGTGTCTACATTGCCTTACAAACTGTAAACCTTTCCTGTTTGGCCACTTAACTGGTTGCATTCACTTCTGTATATGTGTGTCTGTCTGTGTCTATTATAAATTAACATGCAAACCTAATACATGCATGTCCATAAATGTACATTATATGTGTGTGTGTCTGTCTGTATGTCTGTCTGTCTCCCTCCTTGCTTGCTATTTCTGTGAGAGTTCTTCCTTTTTCACTACCCTGTTTTCCCACGCTGAAATCCTCAGTCCTACTCTCCTCTCTCCTCTCAACTGTACAGCTGGGCATCTGGGCAATAAGGGTGATTGATATTCATATACCTTTCATTGATGAGTAGTATTCCTATTTCTGTGAGGTCATCATTTTCGATCAGATGCATAGATTTTGATGGCACACACCAGGCATTGTAAGGGAGGAAGAGGGCACCTGCCCTTCTGGACTGACCAGTCATATCGATGCAGAGATCCAAGAACTGATAGCCACATCACCCTGCACACATCCAGATCCCATTAAGCATTTCTTTTCTGCTGCTCACTGGCTCCTTAGCACCTGCTCTCTTATTTGCACGTATGCATATTGTGTCACTTGGACTCATTTGAAAGCCACCTGGAGAGCGAGGAGGGTTCAAGCAATAAAACTGATGCTGTGATGACTAGACACAGCAAATGCTGTCTCAAAAATGATAAAATTATATTTATTTCTTAGAGTAAAGCACCAAAACATTATGGTGATTACTCTTGATCATTAAGCTACTAAGTACTTTTTACATATTTCATATAATCCTTACTGCCCTCATAAGATAGATATTCTTTGTATTGATAGGAAATTGAAGTGCAGTTGTTAAATACCGAAATATTTTAGAAAAAAATGTAATGTGAGATAAAATATGAAATTAACTTAAGCTTTACTTATTAAAGCAACTTTGTTAGACTAACCAGTTCTCAAAAAAAATCTGAATGGTAGCAGTTTTATTATAAAGATTGCTGAATTTTGATTGTCTCCTGCAGTGAGCTCCTTTCCTGTCTGAAATCCTTGAACCTGTCCAAGACTCCTCTAAAGACAATTCAGGAATTTATGGCAGATATAGGGACATGATGGCTTTGTTGGATGCTGTAAAGGGAGAGACAGATGATTAGAGTTCATAGAATACCACAACCACAGCCACCACATGCTTAGCTTCAGGTGGGAACCAATTAGTTATTAGAACTACACATAGCAATCCGAATGTCCAGGTTCAGGGAAGGAAAGGTTTAGTACCATCTGCCCATAAGTAGGGATAACAGATTACTAAATCATGGGACAAAATTTTGCAGATGAAATATGGTCAGTCAAAAAAAAAAAAAAAAGAAAAGAATTATAAGGAAAAGTTTTTCCCAAAGATTTACGTATAGTACTCATGTAGATATTAGCTTCTAAGGAACTGAGGAACTGGAAAAGTCTTTGAGAAGAACAAAATTCATTCATTGCAGTTTTGTTAAATGCCTATTTCCAGAGCTGAGTATGCTCTCCAGGTCACAACACGAATGGAGACTGGTTAACAGTTCCATAAAACCTTACACATACATTAAGGCCCCAAGTGTAGCAGTGTTATCTAGAGAACCAAAATTCATGACAGTAAAGTATACATAGACACCCAGTAAATGACTTTCAGGAAATAACCTACCCCCTGCTATAAATGTGAGTCTAGATGATGTGTTAAGAGCTTGGTAACATCGCACCACACACCAGAATATACCAGACCCTCCTCTCAGAGTAATAAATGGATCAAGTGATGGATGTTTTTAGGAACGGCACACCCTTGGCAGCTATTTCAGTTTATTAAAGAGTACCAGAAAATAGCCAGGGGTGGTGATGCATGCCTGTAATCCAGCACCTGGCAGGGGGTAGACAGGATCGTAAATTCAAGATCATCCTTGACTACATGGCAACATCAAGACCACACTGGAATATATATATATATATATGTATGTATGTATATATATGAGATCTTCAACCCCTGTTCCCAAAATGTGCCAGAAAATGATGTTGCTGTAGCAACACAGTTTGCTAGAGTTTGTCTATTAGAAATAAGACCAAGCTCCATTAATAAGGGAGTGAATGTTGCTCTATCCTCATAGTGGAGATTACTGTGTGTAAATTAAAGAGTAAAGTTGAGAATGTATAAGATAGAACCGTGCTTGGGCTGGGACTTGGTACAGACAAGTGAGAAGAGTTCACATGTGAACTGGAAAGAGGAATTTGCCATGGAAAATCATGGTTTCCTAAGGCCAATCACAGAAAGCTTGTGTTTGTTTCCACACTGGGGCTCAAGAGATGACCTCACTGAAACCGTTACAGTTGTGTTACTGACTGGAAAACCAAGTGGAGAAGTGTCTGGGCCTTCTTTAAATTGTTACAGACATTTAGGAAGAAAACAAAAGCAGATATTTTCTGTCAGCAGTATTTAAATTATAGCTCCTGAGTCACAACTGGTGCAAAGAGGACCAAAGCACCAGTGCATACTAGACTTTCTCTGCATATTTTGGTTTGAGTAACCAACTTCTCTGCTGTTACTAAGAATGTGTGTCTAATGCGTCCTTTAGCTGTGGCTGTACTGAACCCCCTCAGAAAATCACTGTCAGTACTTCAAGGTGGTATACCTCTCATTACAGCTATAGAGGACCAGTTTCATGGCACACCATAAATCTTGATTTACCACCCTACAAACGATGGCATGAATTAATGGCTCACAAGGCACCAATGGTATGTTATAAGTCTTAAATCTTCTTGTTCTGACTTTATGGATTATAATTCTGTTTTAAATAACACCTCATAAGCTGGGCATAATAGTTCATGCCTGTGATCCCAGCATTTGGAATGCTGAGGCAGGACAAGTGTTATGTTTGAGGCCAGCCTGGTCTGCATAATGAATTCTAGGCCAGCCTTGGCTACTTTCAGACCCTGTGTCAAAAATTACTAGTAAAAGTTGAAAGGTATCTTTGGATACTTTTCTGCCATGCGTGATAATTGGTAACAGAGGAAAGTTGTCACTCGTTTCTCTTACGTTCTTGTGCTTTTTGAGTTGATTTGCCTCTTTCCCTTTGTACCAACTTCCTTAATCTAAATGATTAAGAAGTGCCACTTTTAAAGGTAAAATTGTGTTCACATATTAATTGAAAAAACTTTCAAATTGTACTGTATTTGATTTAACTATTTTAAGTAAGTCAGAAGGTCTGCATTTCTTTTTTATTAAACCAATATTTAATCTTAAATCTTAGCACTTCTGGGCGGGAGAGATGACTCAGTGGTTAAGAACACTGGCTGTTTTTCCAGAGAACCCAGGTTCGATTCCCTACACCCAAATAACAGCTAACAACTGTCCATAAGGCCAGTCGCTGAGGATCCAACAGCCTCTTCTGACTTCTGCAGGGCATTGAATGCATGTGGTGCACTTGGATGCATGGAGGCAAGACACTCATACACATAAGTTAAAAATAATAAAAAAAAAATATATATATATATATATATATATATA